TCCACTTCCTTTTTTCCTCCAAGCGCTCAGGACCCCACCAGCCTGGGAGCTGTTCCTAGAAGTACACGTTTTTGGACCGAGATGTCTGATGTATTTCCAGTGATCTGTAATGGCTTTCCTCTGCTTTTTGTCCATCACAATGTCTGGTTGGTTTGCCATTACCATTCGGTACATCTGTATCTGCAAGTCCCACAGGATCTTGGCTCGGTCATTCTTTACCATCTTTAGAGGTATTTCCGAATTTGACATTCATTCGACCTGCACAGATGTTCCTGTACACTATTCCAGCCAGTTGGTTACAGTCCTCCATGTAAGCTTTCTCTGCCAGCATCTTACACCCTGCAGTTATGTGCTGGATTGTCTCAGGGGCCTCTTTGCACAGTCTACACCTGGGGTCACGTCTGGTGTGGTAGATCTGGGCCACTGAGCAGCCTTGTCCCTGATGTACTTATGGATTCCAATACACCAGAATCAAGTGGCTGAATTCCAGTTATGTTAAAATCCTGATTATTCAACTCAGGTGTGTTGGTCAGAAACAAATCTAAGGCTTTACCCATTTGAATAAATATTATAAATGATAAAGGCACAGGAAAATACTTTTATCACTTTAAATGTAAATATCTCTAGTGGCTGTTCTGGATATGCCCTTCATTAGTCTGAATGTGCACCAACAACTTTCAAATCAGACCACTCTGTAGCTTAAATGTTGATACAGGTGAGTGTACTTCCAAAAAGTAGTGCAAAAATAAAGGATTTTGCACTGAGAAAGATCATCCTTCTAAAAGCTGTATAACCTTCATCCATGTGGAGGAAGATATTGCACCATTGAATCATGAAAAAACAACCAGGTGGAAAAGACTTTACACTGCACCTGAAAACCACTCAACAAAGTGAGCTCAACTTGAAATGATGCTGAAACTGGCAGGTTTCCGCTCACTGGCTAAAAATGAAAAATATTGAAAAAACTCTATACCCTATGCAAAGTCTAATTTAAAGAGAAAAGAACAACAATGTCCTAAAAAATAAAATCATACACTATCTGTAGCCAGTCTCTGAAATCATTTTGTTCTTTGCTTCTAAATCAGCTTGCATGGTGATATTATGAGTGACTTTCCTCAATGGTTGGATGGTTTCATTTCCATCTGTAGAGGACCTTAGTCATTCATCATCTCTTTTTTTCTGTCCCTGAACTCTTCTCTGTCCAGTAAAGCAGAAATCCCTTGAAAGGGGCAGAGCTGTGTCCAGTGAAAGCGGTTATGACCCTCATCTGTGAACACACTGCAGGGCTAAAAGCTCTTAAATTCATGTCTCATGTCTTTGCAGAGCACAATGTTTGATGAGTTAAACTACTCCCAACAACACGGCAACAAAGACTTTAGAAGCACACCTGGGTTTTTGTTGCTGAAACTCTATTTTTACAAAAACTGTATAAAAAAAACTATATCCTTTTTTTTCTGTTTTTAAAATTAAATCAGGCTAAACGTTTTATGCTTTAGATTAGCTAGGATGACTGATTATGTTTGCTAAATGTCAGAATAATGCCAGAAAAATATTACTCAGTTTTTTCTTAAAATGTGCAGGTTTTTAATCACAGAGTTTAACAGGCTACTTTAAATTTGTTAAATCCCAGATGATGATGTGATTGAGGGCTTTTACAGGGCTTGTTTTTCTTCTTTTTTTTAGCAAATTGCAGGATTGATGTGTTTTAAAAAATGAATAGAAATCAACATGAGTGAGTGAGCCGACCCTAGAGCAGAAGACAGAGTAATTTGTGAAGATAAGTTCGGTACTGTTATGAGGGTCCCATGCACAGTGAAATGAATACTCCACTGACATGCGCTGAACTTTTAATCAAAGGAAACATAGCTTTATATCAAGCCAAATTAAAGCATGTAACTGCACTCGTGGGTCAAATAACTAAATTTGTGGAGACATTGCTTATGTTTTCATGAAATAGAAATTCCACCCATTCATTTTCCGTCACGTTTATTCCTGCTGGATAAGCAGGGATAACCCCGGTGATCGTGCAACTACAAAATCACGGGAGGGAAATTAATGTTTATGATACATGTTTTCGGCAGCTGAGATTCTCACGATGAAGGTGGACTGAAAGCCAATGTTAAGTCTTTACAAGCCGCCATTTACTATGACAAAAAGCCAGCATTAACAACAGCTTTGAAAGCTACCTAACCCACGTAAATCTGTTATCCTGTACCAACAAGATTGGTATATGTTTACAGATCTACTGTTATGCTTTCTTTGGTAACAAGCAACACAGCCTAAATAAACTGAGTGTAAAAGGTTAGCTTTACACCAATATCAGCAGTACGGTTTCATTACTTGACAAGGAGGAACATGGTAACTCACCATCCCTTTTAAAATATTTCTTCTTCATTAGCTCCTTCCACCTGGAGAAGACTCCTGATGTCCTTGTTTTTTTTATTTCCCGGCTGTTGTTGTCTTTTAACTTCTCTTTTTTGCTTTCTTGGAGATGGTGAAACCATTTATTGTGCACCTGCTCAACATGCATTGTGCTGCATTGTGCTGCAGCTGCACATGCACTGCCCCTCTATCCTACTAAACTGTCAGCAAAGGGAAACATGTTATTCCACACAGTACTATTTTATCTCTAGCCATTGTCTTTACTTTAAAGATTGCAGACTGTCACAGCACTTTACAAACGGGTAACCAGCCTTATGTATAACCTTATTTAAAATAATTTGCTAATGAAAATGTATCGAATCATTAGTGGAGGCAATAATTCACCAATATTAACACATATGTTAATGCAGTCATCAATTCCAGGCAGTAAAAATGAGACATTATTACACAATGTGCCTATAAAAGCAGGAATTTTTTTAGTTTTTTTAAGTTTGTTTAAAGAAGTGGTACAACAATATTGGGTGTTTTGTGCAGGAGGGACTGGTGCTTTTCACAAAAAAGATGGTACCATGACAAAATAACATGGGTCTTCTAAGAAAATGATGACCCAAACTATACAGTCAAAGTAGTTGGCTTAATGGCAAAAAGTTTTGCGGAGGCCATTACAAAATCATAAGTCGTAGAGCTGAAAAACTGTTTCAGAACAATGCTGCCCACAAACCGGACCCAGTTACACCAATCATGCCAAAGATTCAGCAAACTATTTGGAGAAGCTTGCTCAGAAAACCCAACTTTTTCTAATTATATGGTTCGGTAATTGGAAAAACTCAAACACTAGGGAAATATACAGTATGGCAAATTTATTTCTGAAGACTGTAAAAGCTCTTACTCATGATATGTCATTTCAGGAGGTGTTAGTCTGCTTCGTTTTGCCTTTTGAACAATGTAATTGAATACTTACCATTCATATTGTTTTATTTACACTGCATTTTTATCACCAATTGGTTAACTCACTTCCCACATTGTATTGTATATATCCATCCAACTGATGGTTGGATGGACTTATATTGATATATGTATACATACAAAACATTTAGACCAAGATTAAACTTATTTTGAAATAATCTTAATAAATAAATTCGTTTTTTTTTTCATGCAGGTCGGATCAAGGTATGTAATCTTTTTGTTTTTATATATACCAGCTATGGATTTGACCACTTGCTCTTTTCACACTTTAATCTTTTTCCCGATAAATCACCAGCCTCTTGCATGACCCAACGATGCTCCTGAGAATATGTTTAAAGAACTTTCCATAAATCATGAGAGGACATTTTATTAAACCTCTTTGCCAAAGTAATATTTTTTGTCTCTTTCAGAAGTAGGGATGTCCTGCTTAATGATGCCGAACGGTTTTGCCTCAGTTATGACACAGATATTGCGGAGAGCTCTGCGCCTGCCTTCAGGTTATTGTCATCGCTCTGTCATCTCATATTTTGTGTAAAACGTGTGTCATCTTGCGTGTGTGGTGTGCGCGCACGTGTACGTTTTCAGTCAAGTCTATTCCGGCTGCGCGCGCGCGCTCTTCTCCAACTGCGCGTCTGCGCGAGTGCCCGCATCGCCGCCGACACCGTTATTCCTGCTCTCTGAGCGCGCAGAGACATCGCCAAACTTTAATAAGCTGGAAACCTTCAAGCGTTTGGAAGGAATCATATTTTTCTTTCATTGAAAGTAAAGAGTGTCTCGCTTATTCTGCGTGGTAAAGGTGAGTAAACCTTGAGCATGACATTACAATAGATTGGGACTGGGTTGTGCGTTTTTCTTTTCCCCAACCGACTAAATTCCTGCTAGGATTTAAATCCTGCATAATCCACAAGTGTCTTCTGGATCAAACGGTGTTGGCCTATATATCTACTGATTTGCAATGGCATGATCAAATATCTGCTTTAAAAAATGTTTTGTGTGAGATTTGGTCACTTTTTGCGCATTTCTGGTGTTGTTGCGCCTATTTAATTTTGGGTGCCACTTTTCTTTTCCTTTTTCTTCTGCTGCCTGTCTTAAGAACAAGAGCTGGACATGGAAAACACTCCAGTTGAAATTTTTAAAGAAGACAATAAGTGCCTGCCCGGGCTGCTGGAGGACTGCCCAGTGAATTCCTCGGGTTGGATGTCCGGAGAAAGCCGCAATGTGACCCGCGATGAGAGCTGGGAGCAGGAGAGCATGTCCCCCATCATCCCCATCATCACCGCTGTGTACTCCGTGGTGTTCGTGGTCGGCTTGCTGGGAAACTGCCTCGTCATGTATGTGATCATCAGGTGAGCTCATTATTTTGGACGTTTATTTTAATTTGGAAAATGCAATAAAGCAAATAAAACAAATAAAAAAAACATGTTATTATTGCTATATAATATTATTGCTATATAATATAATATAATATAAATTGGTATTAGATGGAAGCATTCAAGTCTAAAATTATATTAATCAGAAATCAAATCGAAAAATAACATTCCTTCTCTGTAATACAGTCAAAAAAGTGAAGTTCATATGTAGTAAATATTACAGAGGGACACAGGTTTTTAGTACTAGTTTCATATATCTATATGAAACTATAGATCTAGAGATATCTATATACTGTTTGGTAGACATAGTCAAGTCCACAGATGTCTCTGTTGTCTTGCAGCCATAGAACTGTTGAAATTTACAATCATTAGTAGGCCTATATAATGCTATATAATTTATCGAGATGCACCTCGGTTTGTTACAATACGTTGGGAAACATTTTCCAGCAAGAAAACCTTTATCTTTTCATTTTATTCCATATAGGTGGCTATAGTTTTAGTTGAAAACAGGTTTGTAACAACATTTAAATACATGGGGTAAGACATATACAGAGTGCTAAACATGTCATAATGCAACAAAATATTTATAAAATGTTAGTTTCTGTAAGCCTTTTTCAATAAGTTGATGTATTCACAATTATTTGTATCAAAATGTTTATTCTTCAACAAACAGTTTTTTTCTATTTATTATAAAGGTTTAAAAGTATACAGAATTATCTTCTTTTGGCTTCCAGTTCCTGGGGGGGAATCACCTTATTTATTGCTTGCTCCACATGCCATTCTTTGTGACGTGCTCATTTCCCCCTCTGCACATGCATAATTCTAGTGTTAGTGATTTTTGGTATTCTTGTAGCTTTTCTGCTTTTACTTTATACTTTGAAAAGGAGTGAGAGTTGCAACGAGTAAACTGTGGTACACAGGAAATTATGGACATGATGGTAGAAGAGAAATAAAGAGGGTTTTTACTTATAAAGAGTTATTTTAAAGGGTTTTGTGTGTTACCTATCTACATTTCGAAAAACACATTCCACTATTAGTTTAATAATCATAGCAACAAATCTAGAAATGTTTAGCTACATTCTTTCAAGAGATTCACAGATCACCGAGATTATCCAATGCTATACCGTTGCCTTGGCTGAGCAAATCAGCAGATATCGATGCGACTCAACTGTGAAGCAATCTGATTCAACAATAAATTAACCATACATCTTGCCATGTGAGCGAAGGCTTTAGCCTTGACATAAATATTGTTAAATGTAACAAATTAACACAAATATAAGTGTACTAAAAAATATTTATTAACAAATAAGCAGCTACAAAATAAACAACAGTTCCATCTAAAGTGCACTGTCTTGGATCTCTGATATTCAATATCAAGTCACTGATATCCAAGCCCACAAATTAGTCCATATCAGAGCAAATATCCAATTCAGGTATCAGATCAGTGCATCTCTAATTACTTTTAATCATTTTTGTAGTATGTGAATTATATCTTGCAAACATCGAATTGTTCTAAATACAAGGAATAACTGTTCTAGGTCTTTGTCTTTATATTGTATGCAAAAATAATCAACCATAACAAAAAATCATTGTCAGGTTTGCTGATCTATGATTGACTGGATTTACACACAGTTCCCTCTTTCTGGAACAAAATATATATCATTACACATTTCCTAAAAATGTTTGACATTTGAAAAATAATGGTTGCAGGCAACTAGCTCTCAGTAGCACATACAATCATTCTGCTGCAGCATTCGTGCTGCAGCATGCAACCGAAAAAAAAAAAAAGAATACTAAAACTATTTTATCTGCTTATTGTAAGCTACCTATATACTGTATGGTTTTTATCTAAAAATAGCTTTATACATTAAAAACATTGATTTTACTCTTAACTTAAAATTTTAACACAATACTGTAAAATGTATGTGTTATTTTTTTTAATTGTACCATTACTGGTTCTCCATATATATATATATATATATATAAAAAAAAACATTAGGCAATTAATGTAATGGTCTGATCATTACAAAGAGAATAGCATTTAAGTGGGGGAAATGCTAAGATCTCTGCTGCCAGTTCTAATTTAAAGTAAGTCTTGTGAAGCAAAACAACACTGATTCAATTCTGCCTTCTACAGAGACAGAAAAAAGCTTTTATTAATCCAATAACTCTCAAGATGTCCAAAATGTTCTAACTCTATTAAATAAATAATAATCATTATTTCAAGCGGGGTGAATGGGATTTTAATTACAAGGGAAACTGGTTGTGATTAATCACATATCCTGTTCCTCATCTGTGCATTATTTATAATCTACAAGAGTGACAAATATTTTTATTAGTGTGACATGCAGACGTGCCAAACAGAATGTTTCAGTCCATAGACAGTTATCCAATATAGGATTGATAGCTCCACCTGTAATTGGAGGAAAATCCTATCACTTTAGTGGCAGAAAAGACATCTTATGGTGATTATGGTCTTTGGAGGACCATTTAGTTGAAGGAATAAAAGGTTTTCTGGTGATTGAGTGAAAACAAAAATAAACTAATGAATAAGGCAAAATTACAAGTTTTACCTGAAACACTTTTAAAGCATCTATCATTTATCATCTATCATGCCAATATTACAACTATCATTATGCTTTCTTAAGGGAGTTATGCATCCCTTGAATCCCTTTCTACAATGTAAATTTTTGAACATAAGTCTCCAAAGTATGTCAGCACTTTAAGTTTTATACCATTCATTGTAATTTCAAAAACAACCAGTAACCAGGAGGGACTGGTGCACTTCACAAAAAAGATGGTACCATGACAAAATAACATGAGTCTTCTAAGAAAATGATCACTCGAACTATAAGGCCAAAGTAGTTATATATTGGCTTAGTGACAAAAAGTTAAATGTTTTGCATAGGCCATTACAAAATCATAAGTCGTAGAGACGAAAAACTGTTTCAGAACAATGCCGCTCACAAACCGGACCCAGTTACTCCAATCCTGCCAAAGATTCAGCAAACTATTAGGAGAAACTTGCTCAGAAAACCTAACTTTTTCTAATTATATGGTACTGTTTAATTGGCAAATCTCAAACTCTAGGGAAATGGACAGTATGGCAAATTTATTTCTGAAGACTATAAAAGCTCTTACTCATGACAACATGTAATTTCGGGAGGTGTTAATCTGATTTGTTTTGCCTTTTGAACAATGTAATTGAATACTAACCATTCACATTGTTT